TGGTCAACTGACATCTGAAAACTGTTTGCAGACACTTTGTGTGATATTAAAAATAATAACAAGGTGCATGAAAATATTTATAAGCACACTTAAATCTCAAAGCATTACAACACAACCGATGGCACGCCAAGTTCCTTTTACAGTGAGATTGGCGTAATTTCAACAGCAGTAAAAGAAAAAAACATAAAAACAGGGACCCCCCCACGCGCCCCCCTTACTCTTGATTCTTAACAAGTAGTATTTGACTTACTAATAAAGATGCTTATATCGAGCTTATGGTCCACTTCCCCCAAATCTGACTAGTCCAACAAGATGAATTCCCCTGTCAGAATCAAGATGATCAAACAGATTACAATTATTTCATCCCCCATCTTTATTAATGAGGACTGTCTTTCATAGTTATGTTCTCTAATAAGAATAAATGATATGCCACCACCAGGTTTGTTGTTCCCACTTACTCAAGGGATTCTCAGACATTTCCACTTTGAATCGAAGGAACGTTTGAGATTGATTTCAAACGCTTGGATGTTTTTGAGGAGAACAAAGACACACAAAAAAGGAAGCAAAAAACCTCTTTTGTGTTGGTTAAAGCTGTACGAGAGAAAAGCCACAAATTAAACTTAAAAGAAAAGACAGTGAGTTGCCAAGGAAGTGGAAAGTTATCAAGCGATTATGAAAGGATCGTAACTCCCCAAGGACAATTAATATGGTTCGTTGTGCAGGAATGAGAACCCTGCGCAGATGGATACACTGACTGTCGGCAGCAAAAGAAGCCAAACAAAGTATTGTGACAGGAGCTGAGAGAGACATCTCATCTTTTGTCTCCATCAATTTCATTTACCACCTCCATACAGATTGACATGCTGCCCTTTATTTCAAATCCAGGCCAAAGAAATGAACAATTAGATCTGTTCTAGATGTGCAAAAGGATTGTGAGCACAAATCAGAGAGCAGAAAATGTGACCCCTAGCAACAGAGGCATGCAATAGAGTACTTGCCCTTTTTCCTGCTGACAAACAGTGCTCTTCTGAAATCATCTTCTTTTTAATTGTAAAACAGTGTTAGTGGGTGGACCAAGGTAGCATTTCTGGATTTAAAAACCTACACATTTTGTTATTTTTGCCCAATAAAATGGCAAATTTATGTACTGTTATGTTGCTATACTTTGCTCAGTAGTTGCCAATTTGACTGTTAAAGAACCCAACCTGTAGAGTGTTGAACATTATTAAACATTTACATCAGAACTCTATATAAATATAACATGCTTAAGATGTGTCTAATAAATCTCACACTTCAAAGGCAGCGAGTGGTTTGATCGGTCAAAATATTGTGCTTTTATTGCTAGAGTTGGTCCCAATTTAAATAAGGGAGAAAGATAAAGTCCATGTATTAAAGTTATAAATTGTGACACCAGAAATATCAGAACCAACCAAATGCATCCAAGCAGACCATTGCAAAGCAGATACTACTTAGCAACTTTAGCAGCTAACTGTTGGTGCTAGTGAGTTTTACTGTCCTCACAATACTAACAAGTCACATGTATATTGTATTTACTGCCAACCAACAATTTAAAAATCCCAAAAGGTTAATGAAAAGACATCGTAGTGAGAACTAAAAGGCAAATAAAAAACTAATAACTTTCTTGCTTCAAAATAAGAGTCGCAAACATAGACAGCTTAGAAGAACTCACTGTGGGATCATAAAAACACATTTTCTGTCAGGTCCTGACAAACAAATCTTGAGAGAGATTGTCACATATTGACTAAAATGTATTAACTTCCAACTAAAAAGATGCTTTTTTTAGTTATTTTAAATGCTGTCAAGGCACCAATATTTGCACTGCTAAACAATTAGCAGCATTGTAGCCGAAACGGCTTTACTCTAATACTGTTTCCATCTCATCTTAGTGTCGAGTACGCATCCATAGGTCTGTCACGATAACAAATTTTGCTGAGCGATTGTCTCAAAAATTATTGCGATAAATGATAATATTGTTTGAAGACCTTTTTACACTGATTTAATGGAAATGACATAATAATGCATGCTATGTCCTGCCAAAAATAAATGCACTTTATTTTCAAAAGAATACTAAAAACTGGAACTGGTAAACAAAATAAACAAAACAATCAAAAACAAAAATAAAATGGATTCCCAGTCTCCATTAACAAAAAACTTACTTGAATAAAAACTAAACAACATAAAGCCAAAGTGGAAATAAAAACTACATTCAACTAAAAGAATGTAGATTATGAAGTCTGTATACTACATAGCCCTTCAATAATCAATAGATTTAGATGGAGAAGACAGGCATATCCGACTACCTAATGCAACAGTTCACCCCTCCCTTAAGCCCAGTTCACGCTACACAATTTTTTGCCCCGATTTTTCACTACGACTGATCGGTCCAGCTGGTAGATCGTCGTAGCCGCTCCGATCTTAATCAGGGGTTTTCCCCAACTGGGAACGTTAACGTTCATGATAACACTGTTGAATGTGACAGGCAACCAATCAGAAACCGCGGATTCCCCTCCTTGCTTTCTGAAGGGAAAGCAAGGAGGGGAATCCCAAACAGCTGACGCAGCACAACCTAAAGTCCAGAGGAGTCAGAGATGATACATGGAAACAACATTAATGTTTATTCAACATTTTGTGCAAAGAATATCCACAGAAATGACATGGAGAACAATTAGAGTGTAATTGCTACCACAGTTGATAAACCCGGTAACTTTTCAGCTGTTCTTCGTTAACGTGACATAAATAGGTTATAATGATTTTCATTCGGTCAGGACTTTACTCTGACTCTAGCCACATGCATCACAGGTAGATTCTAGTAAAGCATTGATTAATGCCTGGTTTTAAAATTGATTAACTGGACTTGTAGCCATTATTTTGTGCCCATGTGGCTGGACACCACACAGCACGATCGAACCCGATCAAACCGTTATACCGAGGATTTCTGTCGGCTAATGTGTGGTCTCAGGTTTTGAAAATGGGCCGACAACTCGTGTAGTGTGCGCTGTGCTTTACACTAAGGGAAGGTCAGTGCAGAGCACCGGAGTTGAGCCTTTTTTCATTCAGTGTCATCAATAGAAAGAAAAAATGCAGGAAGAGACGATAAAGCTGATAAATTAAAATGAGGTTGATAATTTTAATTTATCATGCGATTAATTGATTTATTGTTTATCGCGACAGGCCTACACATCCACACCACTTTCCAATCCCCTTCTTTCTCCCTCCGCCTTCCTGCCTCACATTTATCAAATTTGTAACCCCATTGTCTTTATGGAGCATATTAGAGAGAGCCCCTGGCAAAGAATGAAGGAAAAGTCAACAGGAATTAGATTTCAGTGCAACTGTTTACTCAACTGTGGCCTGCAGTTATTGAAATTTTATCCATGGTTTTGTGTGACTACTGCGGTAATGCATTCAGTATGGCTGTGCTTTTCTCACTGATGACTGGAGCTGGAGAAAAAGGGATATATGGGAGGTGAGATCAAGGATTAGGATCTAAGAGAGGATGGGAGGAGATCAGGAGGATCCCAAGGAGCCGGACACACACTGACCCATCCTTGCTACAAAAAGCTTCACTTGCTCCAAGACGGACAATGTGACTAACAGGAAAATGTTTTTCTTGAGATTGAGTGATTGTATATTAGAAAATTATCTGACAGCTGCTATGATGCAGATCCAAACGAGTCAATGAATGATTCCCATATAAAAGTACAAGGGAAAAAGAGTAATAGAACACATTGTGGTCTTCATAAAGGCTGACCCACACTCTACTGAATGTTTCATTAAAGGCGCTTTTCCACTAGTCCGCTGTAAACTATGGTGGACTAGTTTACAGTGGTGTCTGATTCTCTTCCAAAGGCCGTGGGAATATTTTTGGCATCATTAACACTTTGAAATCCAAGATTTAAAATCTACCTTTCTTAGCTTCTTTATTTTTTTACGATTCTGTTGAACATGGAATATTTTTACACAAGAAATAGATGCAGCCCTAACCAGGGGCCAATAATCATTCAGGGTGCTGTATCTATCATCATCATCATCATTATCATCATCATCAAAATACCAAAATTGCTCTCCTGGAACTTGATAAATGATAACACTGAGTCACTGCTTTGCTCCACTACCATCCCCCCTCCTCCATGTTCTGTGCTGCAGGATTGTTACACACACTGATGGATGTGCTGTGACAACAGACAACAGCAGAGAGCCTGGGCATCATCACCAAACAGTTCCTGACAACAACCCATGTTGTGAATATATCGGAGACCAAGATAGCAGAAGACACACTGATCTTTTCAGGGCTGTTTCCTTAAACACACTGTCGTGTGCCACATATAACGTTGACACCAACAGAAAGAGCTTGTCTATGTGTCTTAAGTCTGCCATTTGAGCTTCAGCTTCAACGACACCATGGGTCTCCACATGGCGTCTGAGAGTGTGAGGCTTGTTTACAACGAGCCAGAGGAAAAAGGCTGTCATCCTATTGGATGTGATCATTTCATAACTGTCTACAGAATCCTGTAGCACCTACAAGCTTAAAATATGTCTGAACATGATGATAAATATTTGATAAAGATGCAGATGCTCCGAGCAAGGATAAACACACTGGCAACCAAACAATCACACAGAACAGAGCACTTCCCCTTCCTAAAATATTCAAAACGGGCCTCAATATACATAAATAATAATAATAATGTGTTTACGTGCCGGATGTACTGGGAGGTGGGATTAATTATTAAGTGGCACTTTAAGCAGTAGGTTGGGCCTGCTGTTGACGTGGCTTAATAAAGTGAAGACAGGTGTGAAAACAGAAGGGATGGGGCGGTGCACAGGGTGTACCTGGTGCTGCTGGAGATGCAGGAGGTCTGCAGCCGTCACGTCCACCAAAGGTGTGGCACTTTTAGGCGTTCCCTCCCGGAGTACACTGTCCATGTTTGCACCTCCATTCTGATTGGCTGGTCCATTGCTCACCGTTTCAGTGGTGGAGTCTTGCATCATGACTTAAAAACCTGCGAGGAAAGAAGACAGTCATTACAACGGGAAGTCATGAAGCAAAATCTGAAATAACACAGAGCGGTTATCGCTATGGAGATAAAACATTAAGCTTTTAAAGCAATATTTTCAGTTTTACTGAGTGACCAGAGTTTGTCTCTAGGTCCTTCACCAATTGCTCCAAACTGGTGCAAGCAGAGACACTTTCCCTTGCCTACAAAAAAGACTAATTAATCCGTTAGACAAATTGAAGGCTCACATTTTCTTTGTTTTTATGTTTTAAATATATGCAATAAACTAACTTGTCTTAAACCTATGGGATACTCGTTCTTATTTTCATTCATCCCACAGTTTTACCTTTTTAATTTCACCTAGAGGACCAGAGCAGGCTAATTTTTAATTTTGATTGGCCCTGACTGGCCAGGGGGAAACTCAAAAATTCAATATTTGTCTTATATCTGATAGCAACACACTGATAACAGCATTTTTAAAGGGGCAATATTATGTTTTAATATTGGCCCTTGTGCTATAAAATGTGACACAAGGGGCAATGCAAACTTCAAATGTTATAAAAATGCTATATATACCAAATATGACTTAAACCAATTTTGACTGATATTTAATGTCTAGAAATTGGGCCTCTGAATCTTTGGCTTTTTCTGAAACTCTGCCTTCAGAAAGTCATCAAAACAGCACTCCTCTATTAAAACTTTAACAATGTTTTTACCAGCATTGCTCTGATAAGTAGCTTCTGCAATAAACCCAGCAGGTGTGCAATTCCACCAAGTGTTTGCTAATTGCTGCTGGTTAGTCTGAAGGAGCTGAGTGGGGGAGTGTAGCTCACAGAGCTTCCACCTCTGTAGTTCATGTTCATTAAACAGCAGCTCTCAGGAGGAGCTTCATCTCAAAGTCGGAGCAAGACCCACCCAGGAGCACAATTTGGAGATCAGATCGCCCTGCGTTGATACCACAGTGAAGTTAACTTCAAGCTAACTTTAAGTTAGCTTGAAGTTAAGGGAGCTAATGCCTTACTCCGGCGTTAGCTCCACTCCCCCTCCAATGCTCAGAGGTTTACTTAGGCTCTAAGTAAGTGAACCTCCGATTGCTTGAGGAGGGAGCGGTAGACAACAGCTTTCCGAAATTAGCGTTCATAAATCGGATCAACCTTGAGCTAAACGCCGTTTACACTGTGGAGCTCCAACATCCAACTTGAAGCTGACTTCACTGTGGTATCAACGCAGGGCGATCTGACCTCCAAATTATGTCCCGCCTCTTCGGTGACAACCCTCACACATACAAAAAAATTATTCTCTCACACAGACAAATACAAGTCTCATCCCCATTCATTCGTTCATTCATTCATTCATTCATTCAGCCTAGTGTTAGTTCACACACATACATTTTTGACCTATCATTCAGAATAGTATGTCTGTATGCTTTGTGTGTATGTGTGATATTTTATTAGTGTACATGTGCAATTTTAATATTTTGTGAGTGTGTATGAGTCTTTAGTAGTGTGTGAGAGACAAATCATAGTTTTTGTCCTAAAAGGTCCCTCATAGTTTCCTGGCCAGTCACTAATGTTTAAAAAGCCTGACCCACAGATTTCAGTTTTGGCTGATACCATTCTTTTGTCTGAAAAGTTGCTAAGTTGACTATTGTTAACTGCACATGTGCAGACGTGACCTGTCAGTCGGCCCCATCTCATAGCAGAGCAAAAGAGGACAGTGGTGTCATGAAGCGGCTTTGTGATGATGAAGACTGACGCTGTCAGACCCAGGAAGAAGTGGAGAAATGTGTTTAATGTTGTCCACAACGTGCACAAAACCAGGAACCACAGGTGAGCAACGAGACACAAACAGGGTCTCAGGTCGGCACACAATGGTAGCATCAAGACAACTATGACAACAACAAGGAACCAGGGGGAACGGAGGAGGCGGGGAAGTCTAAATACACAGGGGAAATAATCAAGGCAACAAGATTAACTAATAAATTAACTAATAATCACACATCCACACAAGTGGCTGATTTTCAGACCTTTGCCGAGGTAGAGAAGGTCAGTTTCTCATGCACAGAGCCTTTCCAAAAAATTAGAAATTCTTGGAAAAGTTAAGTCCCATAATTCCGTTCAAAAAGTTAAACTTTTACAAGTTATAGATTCAGTTTCATAGTTTAAACGATTTCAAATATTTGATTGTTTATTGTTAAATAATTTGGGCTTACAGATCATAAAACCTACAAAAGCAGGAATTCACAAAATTAGAATACTGTGAAGAAATCAGCCCAAATTTTAGAGGGCATGAATGTTGTAAATTGAGTGTGACACACTAATCATCTACTAAGCTCAAAGCAAGGAGGCTGGCTGTTCACATAGTGCTGTGTCCAAGTATATCAATGGAAAGTCTAGTGGAAGGACAAAATGTGGCAGGAGAAGATGCACCAGCAGAAAAGATGACGGTGGACTTCAATGGATTATAAAACAGAGAAGACTCAAGAATCTGGCAGAGATCCAGAAAAGGTGGAATGAGGCGGGAGTCCCAGCTTCAAAACCCACCACAATCAGACGCTACACTATTACGTTCCCCAGGTCAAGCTGCTTCTGAACTTGAGCCAATGCAGGAAGCTCAAGTTCTCAACTGTGCCAAGGAGAAGAAGGGCAAGGCCATTGGTCAAGGGTTTGGAGGAGGACGGGTGAGAAACTGAACCCAAACTGCTTGAGGTCCATTGTGAAACATCCGCAGTCAGTCATGGTTTGGGGTGCATTGTCCGCTGCAGGTGTTGGTAAACTCTGCTTTCTTAAATCCAAGATCACTGCAACAGTCTACCAGAATGTTTTAGAGGACTTCATGATTTCATCTACCAGCAGGACCAGACCCCTGCCCATGCCACCAGAAGCACCAAAGCCTGGTTTGGTTGATATGGCATTCACACACTCTCACATTGCCTCTAAAAGGTAAATTAAATGGCTGTTTTTCTTTGCAAATCACAGTGAGACTGACACATTCAAGTGGGACTCAGGTTTTGTTTGTGTTCTTCATAATAGAGTTCTTGCAGGGCTGAGGGGCTCTAGCTCACATCGCAGAGGAACCCAACCTGAGTTGATGGAGAGCAAAGGAGCCCAAGAAAACATTGCAGCTCCGAAAACTAAACACTTTCTATGGAAATGGATATATTTACTTGCATGGCTCCCAGAAGGACCGCGGTAGAATGGCTTTTTAATGGGAAACAGGGCCACTGTGTGAGGCCTGCCAAAGGATCTCCTTGAGAAACATCCAATCTGAAGCCACGTGAAAAACATGCCGAGTCCAGGAGGGGTGCTCAATTAACAGCAAAAAAGTTGGAATATTAAGTAACCCTTGCTGAGTAGGAAGAAATGTTGTCTTCCATAATTTAATCCAACTCCAGAGGATCACACATAAACACAAGCCGTGTAGTTTTAAGCGTAAATGAATGCAATATGTAGAAAATGTGCCAGGAGTTATGAGTGTTAAGAGAACGTAGAGATATTTGTTACATCCTGTGATGTCTTTTAGATACATAGAAAAGCCAGACAGACACGCCTCCCTGTTCATTGCCTGGGGAAAGTGCCAGTGACACCAGCGTATGTATTTCTGCGCCTGTGTTCCTAAAATCAGCGGGATGATTTACAGTTATTGTGTGCTGGTTGCAGACCTTTTAAGCTGCAGCTCATCTAGCCTCCCCAATTTCAGGACAGTTAATGAAGCTGATCAGGCAGAAGCAAATTAATGTGGCTGATTAATTATTTATATGAAGCAGAATAAATGCCCTTAAAATACTGGACCTCATCATGTGAGAGTGTGAAAATGGAGCTAAACACAAATTTCTGAGTTTCGAAACACTTGGGTACAGATCTGATCAGATCAAGTCTGAACAAGATGAAGGCCTCCACTCTTCTAGACACCACAGGGACCCACACTCAGACTGACAGACAGGAAATTGAGGTTGACAACTTGTCACACCAGAATATTTACAGAGCATATGTGAGACAAGAGATCTGGATGTAAAACTAACAAAAGAAATAAACCTGATAAAGAGGTGTTTACATCCTTGTTCAGTTTCCCAGCTCTGAACCATGTTATGGATAAAATGATTCTGTGTCCTTCCTCTGTCTCTTTTATCTGCTTACATGCACACTGCTGCACACTTACATACCCATAACATATAAAACTGGCGACAGTCACATAAACAAAAACTGATTAAGCAGGCCAACACCCCTTGGAGAGGGTGCAGAATGAGGAGAATAAAAGCAGAATTCATGCTACAATCTTTGCTTCATTTGGTGTCACCATGGTGTGCTAAGTGGAGCCCAGTGCAGGATGGTGAGTGTCACTCTGTATCTATTCCATTTGTATAACTTGTAACATTTATTATTTTCGGCATTAAAAACCTGTTTTATACTTAACAAAATCTCATTATTTCTCAAGGTAATTACACTGAGGGGTTCTGGTTGGGTCCTGAAACTGGAAAACGGACGTGGGTGCTGCACAGAAGGGGAAATGGCTGAACTACAACAACCATTTCTAGTGGTTTTACACAAAAAAAAGCTGTCTCCAAATAAAAACTCATAGCTAAAGAGCATAGTGGTTTACATCTCCGTTACATTAGACGCACCCCTTGCAAGAAGCAGAACCAAATGAGTCATCTGACACTATGGCCTCTGCCGGTTCAGTTGTGTGTCATGACACCCCTGCGCTTCTGGGGCCTGTCTGTGCAGCTCAGACCCATCCCACAGGTCCCGATTTCTGGGATGGTCTTCGTTCACCCACCCACCCAATCTCACCCTCCTCCTTCCCACCCCAGACAGATGTTGACCTAATTCACCCCTCTAGTCTGGCACAGCCTCGCTTCGAAATGAGATTTAAAAAAAAACAAACAAAAAACAAAGGGAGCAGCTGGACTCCATCTACAAGCCCTTTCACGACCAATTAGAAAAACACATGCATCCTGGCAAAATAAAATCCATTTGAAATAGACCATGTACCTGCACTTACTTTTT